AGGAGGTAAAGTATTTTTTTTTTTTTTTAAATGGGACATGTGTCTCATTTTTATTAGGCAATGAATTTCATATATCATATTATATGAATTAAATTATTATTTATATTTTGTGTCAAAAAAAATAAAAATACCAAAATTCATAATTTTTCATTCTCTACAAATAGATACCATATTTAATTTTTCTGGAACACAATTAATTTATCATTTTTTACAATTAATTTATCTTACTAGTACAATACCCGTGTATTACACGGGTGTTTGTTAAAAAATTATTCTTAAATTTTAAAATTAATGAAAAAAATATATTAAATTTAGTTTACTTTTTTACAAAAAAAAAAATATATATATATATATATTACTATATATTTTAGAATGATATGTGTTACTTATGACTTACATGTGTTATATTATATTAGTTTTTATAACTTATATCATATAACTACTTGAAATATAAATATATTAGTTGATAAATAATTTTATTTTTCTAATTAATATTAAAAATAATTTTATTATTGTTATAAAGATAAATATAAATTATTTTTTTTATACTTACAATATGGATGTTAAATCGAAGTTTATCAAAAGAAGATTAATTTGATATATTACATATGTAAAACTGATAAAAAATACAAAAGTTATTAACTTTTATAATATATATACAATTCAATAGTTATAATAAGGAATGATATTAAAATACAATTAATACATGTAACATGACCATAAATAATCAACATATTTATGGTAATCTGAACCTAATTATTATTGGTTTGGAATTAAATTAAAATTTACTCAAGCCTAATAACGAAGCATGTAATTTTGCCACATAGGATTCTGAAGCACCAGAAGCAGCCACGTAGGCTCAACGCATTCTGTATTAATATATAGGGAAGATTAGAAGATCATGTTACATAGTAAGAGGGATATGTTACATACAGGCCCGTCTTAAGGGGGTGGCAGCTGGTGCGACGCCCAAGGGCCCATGAGGCTAGAGGGCCCATGAGTATACTGTATATACATGTATAGTAAATGTATTGGCCAATTCAAGTAATAATTAATTTAACCTCTAAGCCCAATAACATCAACAGAATCAAATTGATCTTGATGTTGTTCTTGAAGATTTTGCATCAAGAAATGCTCGAAGGCAAATTTTTAAAAAGAACTGAAGCATAGCTTTATTTGAAGTATCCAAAATTTTACTATTGTTTTACCTTTTTAAAATGTACTGCTTTTTTTTTATTGGCTAAATATACATTACAAGTTATCTCTTATAAATAGTACTATGTACTCCAATTGTTATATTCAATTTTTAATTAGATTGTCGGGCCCTTAGTGTCTTGCTTGCCCAAGGGCCCTCAAAATTGTTGAGACGGCCCTGGTTACATAGTAAGATGAACATGTCATATAATAAGATGAAAATGTTACATTTTCACAAATAAAATTTAGATGAACATGTTCTAAAATAAGATGAATATGTTACATAATAAAATGAACATGTTATAGAATAAGATGAACATGTTACGTACACAATAAGGTGAACATGTTATAAAATAAGATGAATATGTTACCTAAATGAGATGAACATGTTATAAAATACGATGAATATGTATTATTCCAATTTGTAACATGTTCATCTTATTTGAAAACATATTCATCTTATTATGTAACATGTTTATTATATGTCAGTATAATAAAATAATTACGAAAAAAACGAAAAATTAGTTGTGTTCAAAAACCTATCAAATGTGGTCTCTATTCATAGACGATGAAAAATTATGAATTTGGGTATTTTATTTATTTTTTAAATATA